CCTGGGCGTTTCTCCTCCACCTGTTGCGTTTAGTTCGCTCAGTTGGCTGCGCCGTCTCCAGCTCCAGACGAGCGTTTAAAAGCAAAGGTCCGCGGGTGCTGAGCATACTCGCAGCCGGAAGCCTTGGGTTCCGGTGACCCAATGTGGCTGGAGTCCAGGCTCAGCGGGGAGACCGTGGGTTTGAACACTCGTCTTCCAGGTTTCTCTTTTCTAGTTCCTTAGCGCCACCCGCCATCCCTTCCTCTGAAAGGATGGAAGCGGTGGCAGCTCACTGATGGATCAGGCCCTGGGAACGTGGAGAATGGGAAAGTCCGACCTGATTCAAGCGAAATGCTTGTTAACCCCCACCTCCGCCCTACCACTTCTCTGCCCTCCACCACTCCGCCAGACCCTGGAGCGAGGCATCAGTTCCGACTCTGAGTCCATGCGATCTAGGGCCGGAGCTTCTGGAGGGTCATTTGCCCACCTGTTTGCTCCAGACAAGCTCTCAGAGACCCAGGAGACCCTCCTGCTTCCCTTATTCGCGTCTGCCAGCTCTGCTTCCGCCGCCACCTCAGACCCTCCAGGCCTCTACATAGGTTACACTTTTCCCTTACCAAAGACCCAGGATGCCTCCAGTATCGGCCAGTTCCGGGTCTAAGAAAGGCCTCTTGAACCTTAACTGCCCGCCCAAATGCACCAGGTCCCTTAGCTTGTGTGCCCGCACTCACACTCACACTGCTCCCCCCCAATATGCACCAGAGTAATTACCGAACTTCCTCTCTGAGCATCAAAATCTCCTCCCAAGCATACACTTGGCAAGGTGTGCAGGGAAGACTATTTTATTTATTTTTAAACTTATTGACTTATTTATTTCAAGATGCGTTTCCCCTGGAGAAAGGGGCTCTGTCTTTCTTGTTGGCATAAAAACGTTTACAGACCTAAGTGAACTTCTTAGGAAACCAGTTGCTGTGAGACTCATTCTCTGCCTCCTTCACTGCCTTTCAATGTAATTTTTAACACACACACACTCCCCTTTCCTTTCCTCTTTTCCTTCCTCTTTCCTTCCTTCTCACAAACCATATGTTCCTTATTGAGAATCTGCTCACGAGTTCCCTGCGGCTGCCTCCACTGCAGGGGCACTGCCGGGGCAAACCCACTGCAGCCGGCCCACACCACGTTTCAATGAGGCGTCCAGATCTCCATCCAGTTTCTAAATCCCAACTCCTCCCGACGAATTTTCTGGTGGGGAGAACAGCGGCGCCAATGCTTTTGACAAATAACTGCGGGGGTCCTAATGACGGTCTCTGTGGCTGCGGCGGCAACGGGTTTAAAACGCACCATTTCCCCATCGGTACCAGAGCATCTGGCCTGGAAGTTCGTGATGAGGAACCTGGAGTTTTAATTTCTTCCCGTGAGCACGAGACAGTCCTTCTGTGGCATAGAGGGTTTCACTGCCTTTGCCAACTCGAGACTGCATCCTGAGAGTCACGCCTGGGGCGGAGCGTAAGGCCAGGCGCTTCCCCAGCCCACCGAGCCAGACTCCCAGAGCTCGGCCTCCGGTCTCCAACCTTGTAAAAAAAGCCTGCCGCTAACCCCCCCCCACGCCCCGACGCACGGACATTATTTTTCTAGTTCATAATTTCCTCTTAAGACCTTTGTTTGTCTGGAAATGAGGTCATCCTTCAGAGGACTTGAGAAGCCTGTGGGTCATGAAACTTCTATACTGGGATCCCCAAATGCAGAAGCTGCTCACAGAATGGTGTTGAGCAGCCCAGATCCAAGGGTCAAAGCGCCATATGAATGCAGATCGATGCATCCAAACCCGCAGGAGATAGCACCTTGAAGAGGATGGTATGTATGCTCCATGAGGCCTGCACAGCCAGACTGCTGCCAATTGCACTGGGCATTCCTCGGAAGAGTTCCTTTGCAAAGGGGCACAGGAGGCAACAGCAAGTGATTTTCCTTGTTGATGAATTATTCTATTATTGTTCTGCAGGCTCCAGTTTCATTTTGCACATATAGGAGAGAGAATGGCACAATCAGTCACAAAGCTGTCTCAGGTTTTCCCGGGATTCATTGTAGGTAATTTTTCTGCCTGCAGAAATGACGCTGCTTCCCTAACCCCAGTTCAGAGCTTCAGAACACTGGCTTTTACCTTCCAAGCCCTACCCCTGTGTCACTCTTTTGCCAATTATTGCGTGTGCCAGAATGGGCACCAGAATTTTGTGGCCCAATGGAACCAGATAGGGGTAGTGGCCTGAGTGGATGTTCCTTTTCAGCTGCAGAGAGGTGAGGCCAGGTGGATTTGACTTCCTGAAAAACTTTGGAAAGAAGGGGAGGCCCAGGCCTCTGAGGTAGAGAGAGTGGCTGAAGTATGGAACTCAGTTCAACCTTTGAAACTTCTAGGGAACCAGGAATCACCAGGCCCTCCCACAAACCTGTTGGGAAGAGGTTGTAGTGTCCTGGGGTATGGGCTTAATTTGGTCTGGCAGCTGGACCCAGCAGCAGAGGTGACCTAGCCAACACTGCTGCCCTGGACTTCTTGGGAGAGAGTTCTACACCACTTGCCCTGGAAAATTTGGCCTCTGAGGTCTTTGGAAGTGGTGCAGTTGTCCCCAGCTTAAGGGTACTCCCCAGACCCCATCTCCCAGGTCCTCAGGGTAGAGAAGGAACAAGGTGATCCTTTGGCTGCTTATTAACTTCAGAGGGCCAGGCTGAGGAAAATCTGGAAAGAAGAAGAAAAGATTCAAACCTCCACTCAGGAGCTTCAGGCCTGAAACCCTCATACATCCTTGGGGCCTCCATTTGTACATTTTGATAGCAAGTGACTGCTAGTTTTTGAATGCACTACTGGACTGAGATTCCTGGGACCTTGAAAGCCCATTTACATAGCAGCACCTCCTGTTCAAGTGTCCAGGGGAGTTGGAAAGCCAGGGTAGTTCAGGTAAGGATTCATCAGTTTCACACACGGAGAACACTCTGTAGGAGAGTGCAGGGTCAACATCCTGAGGGCTTGGAGACCAAGCTTGGGTTCAAAAACAAATGAGTCTCAGCCCCAGAGGTTTACAAACTGCTCACCTTGGGTATTTGGGTTGCTGTACTGAGCCCTGTATTTGCCCTCTTTAAATACATTTCAGGTACCCCACTTCCCCAACAAATACCGCTGATCCCAGAAATTGCTCTTGTGGCTCCTCTCAACCTCTGGAAGAAGAAAACATGAGGAAAAAAAAAAATCTAGTCCTCAGATGCTATCCATGAGAAGGAGTTTAAGAAATAAAGGGCACAGACTTTGGTGGCTCCCAGTCCTCAAAAAGGAAATGAGAAAGTTTTCCTCCTGACATTGAATTGTTTTATGCAAAACCAGGTTAAACAGGGCTCCACTCCAAGCTGCTTCTCTGCTTTATACTCTGAATGCTCATGGCCCTCCCCAAGGGTGAGTGGACGGGAGGGTTGTCCAGATATTTTCTGGAGCCTCCAGAGGACTGAATTTGATGCTCCCCGGGTCAAGCAAGCCTTTTGACATCAAGCCTAAGAGAAAGCTTGTCTGTTTTCCCTGCTGGGAGTGGGTGTTTAAAGGGCCAACTCGTGGACTGCTGAGCAGTTAAACTATTCCCCTCCAATCTTGCCTTCCGAGTTTGCCTTAATTAGGGGGTGGACAAGGAGGGTTGGGGGGACCAGCACATGTCAAAACTGTCAAAGGAGGTGGGGGAGGGGGGCAGAGAAGGAGAGAGGGGTGGAGAACTGCAGGGCAGGAAAAATTCAAAAATTGTAAAAGGAAAAGGGGGAACTTGAAGCCCAGAAGTCATTGTTTCCTTTATTTCAAAGGGAAAAACCTGCCCGATTCTCATCCTTTTGATTGATTAAGGCCCTGAATACCTCACAGCCCCAGAGTGACAGTCCCTGAATAGACTTGAGCGAATAAAGCGCGGGCCAGAGCGCGGGGCTGGCACTCGGGGGTGTAAAGGAGGCGAGTTCGCTGGCACTTACCAAGTTATAAATAAAAGGCTATGCACAATGGTACCTTCTCTAAGGACAGACAGTCTTTACAACACTCCTGGCGTCATATCCTGCTGGGGACACTTCAGCTCCTAGCCAAGACTTCACTCCTTTTATTTTTCCAGCAGTTTAGTCTGAATACCATAATAAATTCCTGAGAACAAACGCTGCAGTCGGGCAAAACTTTAACATATAGACCCATCTCTTCATCAGGGAGCTCCACGTGGAAATTTAGAGCCCCAGCTTCCCAGAAGGGTTCTTAAATCGAGAAAAGAAGATGCTCGTACCTCCTCAGCCCCCAGCCTTCAACTAACAGTCTTAGGGCCCAGCAGTGTCTGCCCACCCTTTGAGCTACCCCACCTCACCCCCCAGACTGGGAAGACAAAAGAACATTATTGGTTCACCCCAAGTCTTCTTGAGAGGAACTCCACGGGAGGGGGTGACCCCATAAGAGGCCCTGGCTAAGGGGTACTGGCAGACCAGAGGAAGGAAAGTTGAACATATCTCGGGTTCCCATAAATTTTTGGTGGAATTGCGCCCCCTCCAGTGGCAGTAAGCCCAGGGACAGACCCACAGGTGGAAAAAGGCGACTTCAAGAGGGACACCGTGAGAGGCATAGACTCAGAGAAGAAAAGGCACACACGCAGAGTCACACACAGAGATAGAGATAGAGAGGCAGAAAAATAACCAAGGAGAGAGAGACCAGAGAGATGCACAAGAGTCACAAAGACAGAGAAAGAGATTCCTCTCCGTTTTCGGAGGCTCTCATCACCCTGGGGCTGTCTGTCCCAGTTCCCAGCGGTTCACCCTTCTCTCCCGGGAAGGCGCGCCGCGCAGGTCCCTCTCGGGGCAGGCGGAGGCCTCCGCACAGTCAGGGATGGGAAGAGAAAGTGGCCGCTGTCGCCCAATCAGCGCGTGTCTCCGCCACCCGGGACGGTCTCCCCGTTGGCCAATCGCAGCTCAGGGCTCCTGACCAAGCTTTGGGTGAAAGAACTAATAAATGCTCCCTAGCCCGGATCCCTGCACTCAGTGTCACGACGGGAGGAGACTCTGGCCGCGCTTGCGTTCCCCCCCTCCCTCGCTCGCCGTGGCGCTCTGAGCCCCCTTTCCAGCGCCCCCAGCTGCGGGGCCGTTCGCCCGGACTCGAACCAAACTTTTCCGCCCTGGGTTTGGGATCCTGGATTCTAGGGCCTGCCCGCCCCTTTCCCGGGTTCCACCTCGAGCTCTGGACTTGGAGCTAGCAGCCCCCCTCCCCGCGTCTCTCCCTCCTGTCTTTTTGGGGAGGAGCTCTTCACGCTCCGGAGAGTTCCCGAGGGTCGCCGCGCTAGCGTCTCTGTTTTGCCTTCACCTGGATATAATTTCCTAGAGAAGCTGCCCCCAGGATGACCACGCTGGCCGGTGCTGTGCCCAGGATGATGCGGCCCGGCCCGGGGCAGAACTACCCACGCAGCGGGTTCCCGCTAGAAGGTAAGGAAGGGCCTGGCGCCTAGGGCGACTGCCCCACTCCATCCCAGTCTCCATAGACTTCTTTGGCGAATCCAGGGATCCCAAACCCCCAACACCTCTTACCCCAAATAGCAATAGTTGGGGGCGAAGGCCCATTCGATTTGATTTTCTATCCGCAAAAGAAGTGTGGTGCTCTCTGCAAATTATTTACGGAGCTGGGCGGCCAGGCCTGCACCCGGCGGGTCCGCTTTCTCGGGTTGTTTTGGAGATGCCGCGTAGTAAGAATGGAGTGAACCGGCTTTGGAGTACCGGAAGTAACTTCTCCACATTCTGTCCTCCCAAACCCGTCTCCAAAGTGTTCTGGCTGCGCCCACATTTAGGAAACTCTTCTTCATTTGGAAAGAAATTTCTGGTCGGGCAAATTGTGGTAGCTAACAGCGGCGGCTCGAACGATCTTATTTATACGAAAATAAGAATTTTTAGTATTAATCAGCTAAAGGTCTATTCAACTCAAGTAGCATCTCAAGTCTCTCTAACTTTTTTGGGAATCGCCTTTTGTTCTGGCTGAAGATTCTGGGAATTCCAGGGAGGTAGGAAGCTTTGCAAACCTGAGCCCTTTCAAACAATCTGCGGCGCCCTTCATCCTCCATCTAGAGCACAACCCGATACCCTGAGCATGAACCGGGGCTAGGTTGTCCACCTGCAGACCCACAGTCTTTGAGTCCCCGTCCGAGATGTAACAGGTGACACGCTGCGCTGCCACCTGTGCCTCCTTTAGAGGCCCTCTCTGACCCTTGGCTGCTGTACTCTAAGACCGAAACTCCGAGGGCTGTCAGCTCGCTCAAGACCCTTAGGGCGGCTCCAGTCGGGCAGATTTGGTGGTGGTTATTTTTAGAGGAAGACAGTCTTCCATATGTTCCAGAGTCTTTCCCCCCAGTCGCCAGCTCTCCTAGGTTAGTTATTTTGCCCTGGTTACTGTCTTCACACAAAGGATGTCTGTCCCCGTGTTGCTTGATAACTTGGAACGAAAATAACTGAAAGAGTGTCTGGCAGTGGAATTTCAGTGTTGGGGCTGTCACATGCGGATTGGCCAGAAAAGTGCAAAATTAGGTGGATTGATCGTTCCTGCTGCTTTCTCTTCTACCTAAGTAACTTTGTCCTCGCCTCTCTTTTTTTCCTCCTTATCCCAGTATCCACTCCCCTCGGCCAGGGCCGAGTCAACCAGCTCGGCGGCGTTTTTATCAACGGCAGGCCGCTGCCCAACCACATCCGCCACAAGATCGTGGAGATGGCCCACCACGGCATTCGGCCCTGCGTCATCTCTCGCCAACTGCGCGTGTCCCACGGCTGCGTCTCTAAGATTCTGTGCAGGTATCAAGAAACAGGCTCCATCCGTCCAGGTGCCATCGGAGGCAGCAAGCCCAAGGTGAGCAGGCGGGCCTAGCCATGCCGCCTCACGGCCTGCGGTCAATCGGGTGGGTAAGAGCAGGCTACCATCTGGGGCTTTCTAAAGAATTATTTTCCAAGTCCATGAAGGTGTGTGTGTGTGTGTGTGTGTGTGTGTGTGTGTGTGTGTGTGTGTGTGTGTGTGTG